AACAACCTTTTTTTTTCTGGACCTCTTTTTCACCTGCAGAACACGATAGACACTCTAAATATGCAGGTGGATCAGTTTGAAAGTGAGGTGGAATCTCTTTCAGTTCAGACGAGAAAGAAGAAGGGCGATAAAGAGGTAAGTTCTCCCTCCACATTCTTTGTAAAGATGTTTATTTTTACACACAAATATTGTAATTCCTGTGCACACTCGGTGATAAAAGTTTGCCTAACATGTCGGTCGTATACCACACGCTTGTCTTCTCTCTGTCATTTAGAAGCAAGATCGTATTGAGGAGCTCAAGCGGATGATTGAGAGGCATAGATTCCACATTCGCATGTTGGAGACCATTTTACGAATGCTGGACAATGACTCGATAGCAGTGGATTCGATCCAGAAGATCAAAGATGACGTTGAATACTACATTGATTCCTCCCAAGACCCAGACTTTGAGGAGAACGAGTTCCTTTATGACGACTTAGACCTGGAAGACATCCGTGAGTAGAGCACTGTGTGGTGTTTGGATGATATAAAAAAAAAATTGTTTTTAGATAGCGGACAACATCTGACAGTGACATGTGTTTCTCTCGAAGCTGCAGCTTTAGTGGCAACGTCTCCGTCGGGTCAGGGTAATGTGGAAGATGAGATGTATCTCCACTCCAGCAGCACTCCCACTTCCACCACCTCCTCTTCACCCATCCCTCCATCCCCGGCCACTTGCACTGCTGTAAGTTATTGTCTTCGTATCATTAAAACTTGGGTCAATGTGCTAAATTGATGCTTGGTAGAAAAAGTACATTCTGTCATAGTTTTGCACATCATCTTTCTTAAAGTTTGCATTGAGTTAACCCTTTCTAACAAGACCCATTGTGTTGTAATCCCCTGACTCGTTTGTTGAATCAACATTTCAAAAGTGGATTGTCATATCAAGGTATCTCCTCCTATAGGAGAACTCGGAGGACGATAAGAAAAGGGGACGGTCGACAGACAGTGAAGTTAGTCAGGTGAGAAGCTCCCATCTGTGCTGTGCCAGTAGATGAACAGTTTAGTACAGCGCTCTTCATCCTTGGTCCTGGAGAGTCACGGTGGCTGAAGGGTTTTGGCCTCTCAGGCACTGAAAAGGAACACGCTCTTTCTCTGAAGGACCATGGTTGGAGACTTCTGATTTACTTTGTACCTTTCTCCTGCATATGTGGGCCTCAATAGTTTACAGTTTACAAACTTTGCTCCTCGTACACTCATACAACTAAAGTTGCCCACGGGACAGTTTTGTCTGAAATGCCTTTTTTTGGTGCTTTGTCCTTTTCAGTCACCTGTGAAGAATGGCACACCATCCTTGCTATCTTCCTTCTCTTCCTCCACCACCTCTGGCTCCTCCTCGTCCTCCTCCCTCGTGTCCATGGCGAGTGTAGTCGGAGGCATTTCCGCGGTTCCCACAAGCAGCAGTCTCATAGGGAGCTTCAGCAGTGCGGTGCAGCAACATCAGCATCAACCTGCACAACAACAACAGCAGCCACAACCTCAGCCACCAAACCAACCGCAGCAGCAACAGCAGCAGCCACCTCAGACAAAACCTTCTGTCCCCTCAAACAACACCCCCAGCCCGCCCAGCAATCCTCTTCTCCCAGCCTCAACTGCCCCTTCTCTCCCCGCGCCCAGCACACCCATTTCATCAGCTTCCAACTCTCAGTCTCAGCCCACATCAGGGCCCGCCCCGGCATGCAGTTTGGGACTTGGGCTGGGGCTAGGCTTGAGCAAAGTTGGCATGACGGGGACCAGCAGTGCCAACCCAATGGGTGGTTTAGGCCTGAGTGGGCACCCCTCTCCTTTAAACACAATGGCAGGGCTCATTTCGGGCTCCACACCTGCCCCTTACGCTCAGGCAGCAGCATCAGGAGGCTTGGGTCTGAGCAGCACCACCCAGTCCAGCATTTCAGTGGAGAGCAGCACTTCCATCCCCACCTCTGGCTCCAGTGGAGTCACCACCAACGGGGCGGGGACAGGGCTCGGTTTGCTAGGTTCCAGCCCGGCCCACGGCTCTTTGAGTGGGAGTATTTTGGGTCTGGTTCCTGGGCAAAATGTAGCCCCTGGTGCCTCTCAGGTGCCCCCGAGTTCTGTCAGCACTACCTCCGGAGTAGTTGGCATGATGGGAGGCAGCGGAGGGAATGTCGGCGTGGTTGGAGGAGTAGGGGTCAACGCTGCTCCTGCTAGACCACCGAGTGGACTGAAGCAAAATGGAAGCACAAGTACGTTCATGCTTGGCCTTGTGGGACTCTTATTTAAGTCGATGTTGTCTTCTCTTTATTGTGTTTGTTTTCTAACTTCTCCCTCCCCGGCCTACAGGTTACAGTGCTGTAGTGGCAGAGAGCTCCACAGAGTCAGCTCTAAGCACACCGAGCCAGTCACAAAGCAGCCAACCCTCATCTCTCAGTTCTTCAACCAGTCAGCCGTGAGTTATTTGTTGCTCGCTTGATCCGAGTCTGTAAACTCTCACACTTCTTCTTAACTTGATATTTATTAAATTTCCTCTCCCTGCTGCGCCAACTCTACTCTGTGCAGGATGGACAATGGGCCCAGTTTAATCAG